ACTTCTACAGATAGGCCACTGCTTCTGTACATAGAGCAAGGGACCCTCTCATGCTGGCGGGAGGACAGGCTTTTCTTCTCAAGCTGTGACTGCTTTCTAAAAAAAAAAAACAACTGTAAGGGCTTGTTCATAACAGATGCAGTGCGTTCCAGCCCGATTCTGGTCAGCCGGCTCACTTTTTTGTGGGGCAGGAGGGGGGCGTGGCGGGCCATTGAAGTGAATGGCACCATAGCCACGCCCTCCGGCCGCAATGCGATCTGTCCGCACGAGACTGCAAGACACATTATGGCTGCGGTCGGGTCCGGTCGACTGCAAGCACTATTTTGATCACACCGGACCGCAGGAATAATGTGCATTGCGGCCGGAGGGTGTGGCTACGTTGTCATTCACTTCATTGGACCTCCACACCCCCTCCTGCACCACAAAAAAGTGAGCTGGCCGCAATGCGATGCAGTGCGTTCTGACCAGAATCGATCCAGAACGTACTGCATCTGGTGTGAACGAGGCCTGAGACTCTGTACAGCTTTTGCTTTGATGCACCTGGAATGTAATTTCAATGGAGGGTTCAATTGGGATTCAAATGGGCTAAATAGACACCTGATGCACCAAAACAAAAGATGTGAAAAGTATTACAATTTGTTTCTTTTATAAAAAGTCACAGACTGAGTAGAAAAGCCTGTCCCCGGGCCATGATTCTGCAGAGAGTGTCCCTTACTCTCTGTGGGGGGGCAGTGGTCTCTCTACAGAGGTCTGACACACATATCAGCATGTCTCTTGTTAGCAATGCTACTGAATGCAATCTGCATTGAGCAGGAAGTAGACTGATAACGGAGACAGGAAACCCCTTTACCAGCCAGCGGATTGATTTGCCAGGCGGTTTGGGTTCTGCCGAACTGATGTGCTCATCACAACCGCTAACTTTCTTCAAGCTTACTGATGTGGCAGTAACACTGTCACACTGTCATTCTCCGCGTCAGCGCCTTTCACTCTTTATCTTTGTGGTGTTAGAGAAGATGCGCACACAGACGACAGAGACAGCAACATCCGGCAAAAGTCCCCTCCGGGGAATTCCTCACTTTTACAGGTCCTTTTTTGTATTTTTTGTATGACACTGAATGACAAGAAAATAAGTTAATATTCTCCCAGGGTGAAATGCATCACATTTTGGTGTCGCTGAGCCCTCATTCACGCTAGAAACGTCCGGCACGTACAGCTCCGTGCTGCGTGCACGTTCATATCGGGCAGCTCCCTGGAAGGACAGGTGCTGCGAGTGATTAGTATGCAGCCCCCGTCTTTCTTTATGGGACTACGCAGCCGTACGCCGCCATACGCTCACCCGCCCTGCACGTCCGTGCGGGTGTCTGTACTCGTACGCTGACAGGATGGATCCTGCCTGCGTCCGAGCCGGGACACCCGCACGGATCTGCACTTGGGGTGAGCGTAGGGCGGCGTACGGCCGTGTAGTCCCGTAGAGAAGGACAAGGGCTGCGTACTGATCACATGCAGCACCTGTCGTTCCTGGGAGCTGCCCGATGCTGCCGTGCACGCAGGAGGGCTTACTGTGCACCAGTCTTTACATCTAAATATTTCATTCATTTTGTTTTATAGTGATTTGTTCATCATGTTAAAGTGACCCTGGTCCTAAAAAAAAGGTCTCCTATGGAGAACATAAGTAATCACCCCCCTGGCTTCATGCGTTGTTGAACATGATGGAAGGGACACCTCAGATGGAGGACTCTTCAGAATCTGGCACTTCTTGGAGTGTCTCCCCCCCACCCTTGCGTTATGGTTTGGTCCATTAGTCTCTCTGCTGCTACTATATCCTGTAGAGTTGGTGGGAGAAACTACGGTGCGCAAAGGGGGGCCAGAGATTGAAAGTGTCTCAAGAGTCTTCCATGGTGGTTCTCCTTCATTACAGCGGTGTTCGTTGGTGCGACCAACAGGAGAGTTGATTACTTACTATCTTCTTTCTTTGCCAGTTTCATTTTAGCAACTTGATCTCTTTTATAGAAGATCTGAAGATAAACTTTTTTAAATGTTGGACAATAAATAGGGAATAGGTAAATCTCCTATCAAGTCGGAAGACCTAAAATCTTACAATTGTCACCATAAGAAGTGTTAAGGGGGGAAATTCCAACGGGGACACTTGGTCTGGTACCAAACATCGAAAAAGAGGATTTTCCTTCCCTTGCTTGCTGAGCTTTCTTGCTCGCTTCCTGTTGTGTCTCAAGGACAGGAAGTGTGGCAAAATGTGCCCAATGGAGGAAACAGAAAGCACTAAAAATACGACAGAGGTTCTGTACTCCTTAACGGTTAAAACTTTTAACCTGTAGAGGCCAGGTGGGTGCTTGTAATGACTACGGATGGCACCGTACAGCATACACAAAGTTCCAATAATGTCACCAGCACACCAAAAAAGTAAAGTGAAAATCAATCCATTTAATGACAAGGCATTGTCATCCAGATACCATCTGGATCTGGATGACATTGCCTTGTCATTAAATGGATTGATTTTCAATTTACTTTTGGTGTGCTGGTGACATTATTGGAACTTAGAGGTTCTGGACCTTTCGTACTCTATCCGAAACTAGAGAATAATTTTCCCGGGAGTTTCAACTTTAAAGTGGAACTCCAGGCAGATATTAAACATGTCATTGAATACATTATTGTACAAAACTGGGAGCTTTCCAAAGCGGGTGCGTTTGAGATTTGGCTGGGGCAAGTGAGGTGCTAATGGCGGTGTGCAGAGCTGACATGGTGAATGGTGATTGCATAAGCTTGAACCACTTCGGTCATCAGTGGAGATCGTGGATGTCAATGACAGTAAGGCTGGGTTCACACCTGGGCGTACGGAATATGCGCGTTTCATGCCGCACGTCTTTACAGCAATTTGCGGTAAAAGAAACGCTCGACAAACGCGCGTTTACGTTGGCTATCCGTCTGTATCCTAATGGATACACGTGGAAAATACGCCCCAAAGAAGCTCCTGTACTTCTTTGGTCGTAGGGCGTTTTTTCAGCGCGTTCCTACACGTTGAAATACGCCCAGGTGGGAACCATGCCCATAGGCAATTATTGGTTTTCACATGCCAAGCGTTTTACAGCTCGTCGATCAGCTCTGTAAAACGCCCAGGTGTAAACTAGGCCTAAGGAATGAGAAGGAGCAACAGTGTGAAGTGTCAACTGCTTGCTGTCTAAGGGGAGGATGTTAATTAACATATCTTTGGTACAGGGCATCAGGCTGAGCAATGTGTATAAACAAATTGTGGGCAGAAAAAGGAGACTGGGATAGGTACTAAGGACCAATCAAGTCTCCTGCATGCACATGTGCTGACTTGAAGGAGAGAGCAGAGAGATGACTCATTAGTCTTTTGCAGCTCCTTCACTGTCCAACCACATTCTTGTCAGGGGAGTACGGCTGGGCCGTGAGTGGAACCCCTTGGCAGGGGCGGCAAGCCAAAGTCCGAGGTCGAGGTAGACAGGGGAAAACCAAGAAGAGTAGTCAGGTCCAATCCGGGTCGAGGCAGGCAGCTAGGTTCAGAAACGGAAGGGCAGGCCAAAGGGTCGGTTATAGGGAGTCTAAGCAAAGGGTCAGGAAGCGAGACGGTTCAAGGCACAGGGAGCTGGGAGATTACACCATAGGGATAGGATAACTCAGCAATGAGCCAGGGCTCTGACTGGGCTTTTATACCAGTGGGGAACTAAGGCCACCCCCGGGTTGCCGAGGCAACCAGGAAGCTTCTCCATCCAGGAGCCAATGGCAAGAGAAAGGCAGAGGGTGTGTGCTGGGAACCTCCCCCGGCAAGGATCACACCTGACACCAGTAATGGGCGCAGGCGCACTAGGTGAGGTGCACGGGGGGCAGCCTGTCCACCTCACGCGCGCACCTGCCGCACATTGCACGCATGCGCACCTGCAACCCTAGCGCCAGGGGTCCTGCCAGGAAGGAGAACCTGTGCCCTCCACCGCACATGGCAACCCCGAGGAGTGGTAAGACCCCCGGTACCCTGATAATTCTAGAGGTGGAGCGGTGACTGAGCTGTGTTCTATAACTGCAATAAAGAGTCAGGTCCCATATACAGTTTGTATTTTATTATTTAGCTACATTTGCCTATCTGCCTGGCATTCAGCTTTATAAAGAAGGATATCCATGATCCAACCAGTCCAAATCCATCCCGTTCTCCACCAGCGGCTGCTCACAAACACTCCTATAAATAACCGTCCATTTAACATGTTAATGTAATGGCCTGAAGTCTGCAATAAATAAAAGCACAAAACTGAATAAAATATGAGTTATTATCTGCGTGCGATGGGGGAGAAAAGGGCCTTCTACCTTTCTTTGTCTGGTGACATCAATTTATTTTCCTTTCCGGCCTTCAAAGTCCCATTAAAGATTTGTCAGGTCTAATTGTTCGGTGCTAATTTTCTCCTTGTCCTCTCGCCTTTCAATTCTTTACTTTCCTGACTGGATTATAATGATTTTACACGCAGCACGCCATTGATCTGTTTAATGAAATAAAACGCTGTATAATTCAGGTGATAGATGTCACCGGCAACTTCGGCTATTTAGCCTTTCAGGAATAATAACGGGAGGAAAGAAAGGAACAATTGTCTTCGTAAACTTTCCAGTGAACTATCCTGGTTGCAAGGGATTGTGGGCAGAAATGCATTGCCGGCCTGTGAAGTGATCGAGCTTCGCTTGTGTGCTGCTTTTTCCAAACCCTTTCTCTCTGGTATAGGCGTTACTAAAGGAGGACTATAGGGGACACACAAAATGTAAAGCTGTATGTGTATTTGGAACTGAAAACCCATTGGTGGCCTCGCAATGTATTGATAGGGATGAGGGAACCAGGCAAGGTTCTGTTCCCGGGAGGTTCGCAAAAACCCTCCATGAAGTCCATAAATCCTAAACATACGCCGAGCCCCATTAAATTCTATGGGAGGCAAAATGAGCTATTTTCTGCCCTATTTAAGGCTAATTCACAAGCTATTATCAAAAAGGACGTGGGTGGCTGAGCCTATTATTTTAACCAGACCCTTATCCAGGCATGCAGCCTGGGTGGCATGCGCTCCCACCCCCTTCCTGAACCATACCAGGCCACATGTCTTTCAACATTGGAGTACCTTGCAAGAATGGGCAGCAAATACACCGCCCCCCGTGCAAGGCTTCTTGTCGTAATGTTGAGGGACAAGGGCCTCTTCCCCATATTCGGTACTCAAGAGGATGTGATGATTTGTGGGCGGATGGATTATACTGCCTGGGATTGACCCTAATATTTTAACTAGACACTTATTCAGACTTTCAGCCTGAATGGCCAGAAAAGGAAGGGCAGCGAGCATGCACCCCCCTCCCATTGCTTAACCATACCAGGGCACATGTCTATCAACACTGGATGAGTACCTTGCAAGGAAGTGTGGCTAAGACTCCCACCTTGTCCCAATGTTGATGGACAGGGGCCTCTTTCCCTCATTTAGTCCCCAAAATGCTGTTTGGTTTTGGGGGGAGGTAGGAATTATAGGAATCTGGAAGCCCACGTTAGAGTAAAAAGATATCCTGCCAACCTTCAGGGCAATGAATATGGGGTACAAAAATGTATCAAATATAATCAAAAGCAGGCTGGAGAGTTGGATGGCTGCTTTTACAAACAAGCAGTAGCCAGGGTCTCCAAAGGTCCAACGTGTCCTCTTCCACAAGCGAGAGTGTTGGAAAGCTAGAGATGCGAGCTGTTGCTTGTATGCTACCAGCAGAGAGTAATTTAACCTATGCCACAGTACTAAGTTTATTACAGTGTTGCATTTTGATCACTGTAGGAGAGGAGTCTGAGGAAATACTTCTTCCTGGGGACATCATCTCAGCCTGGGCAAGGTCACTGAACTGGCCCTCAAGGATGGCTGTTTAATGATAAAATGTATACTGTTGCTGTATGAAATGGAAAGTCAGTATTCTGTTTATGCAGTCTTATAAAGATAACAAAGGGTTCACTTTAAGTGAGTTTTGGAGATTGGGTTTGGTTAATGTTAAGGTCAAGATTTTAGCATATGCAACATCAAACTGGTGTTTTTTTTCTTACCAAATCCAAAATAGCTGCACTCCAAGGGTCTTCACCGAAGATTCAAAATCTTTATTTATAGAGCAAATACATACTGTCAGTTTCTCCCCATGTATGCTCAATTTATAACACGATTCACCATTCCGGATTACTCATAGAGAACACTTTTTGGGGACTTCATCTTCCTTGACAGGTCTTTCAGGCCCTATGCTACTCATTTTCTCTCATTGGGTGGCCATTTCTGACAAAACTCCTGTACATGCATACACCAGTTACATTGTCGCCAGAACCCGGCTGAATTTATGGCCAGGAGTTTGGCAGTTTTAGGTTAAGTGGCGAAGCTCAGGGTTTAGGTGAAGGTTGTTAAGGTCAGGGTAAGAGTTAAAAGTTGAAAGTCAAAGGGGTAGCCCACCTTAAAGTAGCAACTTGACTCTCCTTCAGCTGCCAAAACAAAGCCCCTGGTTTGATTTACTCAGTGCCTTGTATACAGTACCTACTGTACATAGCATATTTTCATAGTATTATAACTTCATATCTAGCTTTGGAGATTGGCAGATGCAATGTGATCAGTTATATGTTCAATCCCTAATGTAGAGGCCACCAATCAAGAGAGCTATATAGATTTAAGGTGTTGCACAGCCCTCACCAATCAAGAGAGCTACATTGATTTAGGGTGGTCCACAGCCCCTACCAATCAAGAGATCATACATTTAAGGTGCTCCACAGCCCCCACAAATCAAGAGAGCTATACAGATTTAAGGTGCTCCACAGCCCCCACCAATCAAGAGATATAAAGATGTAAGGTGCTCCACAGCCCCCACACCATTAATATTTCTCCTGGTTACTTTACTATTGAACCAAAGCCCAGAAGAAGGGGAATTTTGTGTGACCCTCAAAACATGGATGTTTTTTTGTGTTTCTGTTGTGAACAGATGTTGCTATTAAAAGGTTTTGAACTCTCGGCACTCTTATTAGACGGTGTACCAATCAAAAGAGAGCAGAGATGCTTTTATGTGTCCTGATTTGTAAAGAGTCCTCTGACTTCTCTCAACCTCCTCCCCAGTACAGTCCTCTTGATAAACATAGGCACAACTGCCCAGTGGTGGCCAGAAGACAGGAAAATGTTGATCACATTTGGGAAATTTTGATGCATGGTGTTGCACCCCCCCTCCAGCTAAGGCTCCATTCACATACAGCGTTTGTGTTCCCCACACGGTTTTCCGTGTGGAAAACCACGCGGCACACAAGGGCTTAAATCTTTAACCTGCATGGATTCCGCTCGTTTGCGGCTATTACTATGCGGAATCCGTAAAAAAAAAATCGCACTTGGACTATTATGCGGAATCCGTAAACAAAATTGCACTTGGACTATTATGCGGAATCCGTAAACAAAATCGCACTTGGACTATTTTCGTACTTTGCGGCTGAAGCAAAAGTCTGAACAATGCACATTAAAGTACACTGGTTTTTATGTTTAGAGTGGCTACGCACGTATTTGTACGGCGGATACACGCGGACAACCGCTCCTGTGCAAACGGAGCCTCAGGGGCCCTAGTAACCGTCCTTGTGGTGGATAGAGCCCCTGACAATATGCCGGCACTCAGAAATAACCTTTTGCGGCTGAGCTGCAATAGCTGAACACGGCAAATCTGCAGATTTCAATCTTTCATGGCGTGGCCATCCGAGGGCGCCTACGTGAGCCGTGCCAGCGCTATCAGCTCTGTTATTCCAGCTCGAAAAAACGGCTCGTGTCAGCTTGTAAGCATCCTAAAAATAAGCGGGACAGATGTTGAGACAAAGAGCTGTCTGCCGCGATCATGTCGAAAGAGGCAGCGCCAGCCAGGGAGGAACATTTTACGATGCATTATTTAAACGGAGGAGACCACCTGTCTTCTGGCCGTCTCTTCTCCAAAGATAATTAGTGGCGGTGTGTACTTTGCGCTCAGTCGCTTATGGCGATACCGCCTCGCCTGCGTCGGCAAACACAATCTGTAGAACAGGTGCGGCCTGTGCAAGTTTTTGTTGATGTGGTCTTCTTTGTGGCTTCGGGGGGTCTCGGGGGGCTCATATTTCACAATGTTCCGCAGAAGTGTTTATTTTCTTCCCCTTACTAAGCTCTGATTGCTGCCTGGGCAAATGGAATGTGAAATAACAATTTAGAAGATCACTTATTTGTACAATTCAACAACTAGATCTGATTTTAAAGGTTCTTTTATAGGGATGGATTTTGGGCACATTTGTTGTTTTTTGAGGATTTTTTATTACCATACCATTACAATTTCTAGTAAGGAGTACAGCGTTTCCTAATGTGGACCTAGTGTTAGATCTACTTCATGCATGAACACCCACGGTTTGATTTATAAACCGTTCACATAGCTCTTTACCGTGCAAATGAGATTTTCAGCACTGCATGGCCACTGGATGGCACCAAGGAGCGTATGAATCTTCTCTGCTCCATGGCTCCATCTAGTGGCCATACAGCTCTGTGAATCAGCCATGGGACTTTTCTGACCAATCAGATGTGTTTTTCGGTTTAATGCATCAATGGGTCTTAACAAGAATTTTCATTACGGCAACATGGGAGCCATATACAGTATATGCATATAATACTAAAGCTGAGGCTCCCAGACCCGAAGGGCATTCGGCAGCTCCCAAATGCAATTCATAAAGTCGGATCCTGAATGCCATTCGGGCCTAGGAGATTCAGCTTTAGTATTAATATCGGTCTATGTTTCTTCTGTGGTAGTCGCAACGAATATTAGTAAACTCATCTAAAACTAACGAAAACTCGGATTTCATCTGAATCCGAAACCTGAACCGAATTGAATTTTGAATCCAAATCCCGAAATAACAAAAATATCTGAACCAAACCAAACCAAATTTTTCCGCAGCTTACATGTCTAGCAGGTAGAGGAAAGAGAGACCAGCAAACATCTGTTCTCTGATCACCTTCTTGCTGAATGGAACCAGAAGTGACACTGATTGCATCATTCCAGTTCCTCAGCTTTCATTCCCCAGCTAAAGAAGCTGGGGCAGAAGCTATTCAAGCTCGATCTGCACTAGCTTATTTGTAGTGGAAAGGTGACAGTAGGGGTCTAAAAGGAGGAGAAGGCTGTCCTTGCCTTCTCCTCCTCCTCCGGCTCCCTGACACCGTGCTACCTGCCTGTGGACCCCTGGTGAGACACCATAGCCCAGAGAGCCCACCCGAGAGTGCACCAGCCTACCTGAGTGTGCCCAGCCCACCTGAGAGCCAACACATCCATCTGAGAGCCACACAGCCCAACTGAGAGCCAACACATCCATCTGAGAGCCCACACAGGCCACCAGGCCACCTGGAGACATCAGGGCGCCAGACAAGGACAACACAGAGTATGTAGCTTCATAATATTTTGTATTGCTGTATAATGTATTGCTGGACTTTATAGTCCTCTATAGACGGTCTCCTTACTCTTACTCCCTCCCCTGGCTGTCTCTTCTTGCTCTTTTTCCTGATGGCCTCTCCTCGTTCTCTCCTCTATATTCTCCTAGCACGGCGCTAGAGTGTTCAGGTTTCACTTGAAGAAAAGGTGGGAAACCTAATTCAGGCAGACCATGTAAAAATACTTAAGGGAGAACTATGAGGCGAGTGAAAAATCACTCATCCTCATAGTTCTAGCCGTCCTGTGTCAATGAAACACACGTCGTCTCAATAGATCGTGAAGTGTGCGAACAAATACCGTTGCTCGCTCACTTCTCGATCTATCCCTGCAGGGATTTCCCCCTCCCCGCTCCGATCCTCCAGCGCTGACTGGTGGAACGGACGGACGGACGGGGGGGGGGTACAGCTGGCTCTGCCTTTAGATAGGCAGAGCCAGCTGTCACTCACGCGGCGTCTCAGTATACCGTGAGCTGTAGCTCCCTATATACACTGAGCTTTTTGTCACGGGAGGACTATGGGGAAAATCCCTGACCCCGTAGTTCTCTTTTAAAGATCCACTGTAGTCTTTAAAGATGGCTATTGTTTGCCTCTCACCTCAAAAAGTTGAATAAACGGCATTTGCCAGTCTGAGCTCCACTGCGCTGTTGCGGGAATGACATTGAATGCTGCAGAGGAGTAATGTATCTACTTTAGATGCAAATGACACTTCACTCGAGCTCTTTCTTTTTTTTTGTTAATTGTTATGTACAGTACAAAGTAAGACGGGAGCTGCAAAGAAAAAAAAAAAGGGGGAGCGGAAAAAAAAAAAAAAAAAAAAACACAAGCCGATCGATCAGAGCGCGAAGACCTGCGAATGCAACTTTCCTCCGGCGCCGCAAAAGCTAATTTGGGGATTAATAATCCGGTCACACAGCAATTTTGCAGTCAACACTGCGCTCCCCGCTGAATATAATAAGCACCTTGACTGAAAAAAGCGCTTTTCCTATTCAGGGTATTATCTGTCTTGAGCTCTTTGCTTTTGTAGCCGGGCTCGTCTTAATTAAACGGTGCACGCGTCGGTTTAGTTAGCAAGGTCACCCCCTCGAAACCAATGTGTACGGTTGATATTTCAGTCCGATAAAATATTACTTTAAACATAATATCGTATATAAAAAAAAAGAAAAGAAAAAAAAAAGGTGACGCGGGCCCCACCCGGGGACAGCGTCTCGGCGCGGCTGTAATTTGAATGTTAATATTATACAGTCTGATATGTGTGTAAGGAAGTAATTGAGCTTATTCCTCGAGGGTCAGTGTGATATGCATTTTGCAGACTCGTCAGTTTCGGGTGCATATATTAAGCAGCGTCTGGCGTGGGATCGTTAAGGAAGCATCATTTTTATTCTAGACATGCGGACGGCGAATTAAAGGGACTTTCTGCTGGAGATGGAAGTGTATCCTGTCCCCTCATTAACGTCTCCATAACTAAAAGTACTTCGCTTTGCTCTAGTTTGGCCTCTTTTGACCCTCCACAACTGAGCCGCCAACTATACCAGGGCTCCAGATTATTAGGCCCCATTCACGCTAAGCGACGCTTACCTCGAGCGGATTTCCGCGCGGCGGGATAGCACAACTGCTCGGGCGACGTTTCCGGCGATGATGGCGCGACCTTCACCCCCAGGCTGCATGCAAAAATAGAAAAATCGCACAACATCCGCAGGGAAAAAGGGTCCTGCACAAGCGGCAGGGACGAGCGACAGGCGACATGGAGCTGTACAATAAAACAGCTCAATTGAAAATCACAGGACGGCGACTTCTCGCGATATCGCGCGGCAAATATGCGCGATATCGCGGCAGAAATCGCGCGATTAAACGCCCAGTGTGAATGGGCAACTAAAGAGGAACTCCAGGATTTCAAAACAACTTTCCCTTGCTGTGCTGGGGGTAGGACTGGTATAGATGGTGGGTAAGCGGAGGGTCAAAAGATGCCGAGCTAGAGCAAAGGTAAGTACTCGTTTTGCTCTAGGAGGCGCAAATAACCCAGATATAGTCACCTGATCCTCGGTCACGCCACCACCTCTGGACACGGCTGTGGAAAGTTTGAGTGTGGCCAAAAAGGCCGCCCCAGTACAGTCCCTGGCTGCCTGCATCCAGGATCGGTCAGAGGATCTATTCACTGCTAGGAGTTTTTTGTGTTTTTATTTGTGTGTGGGTCTCTCCTTAAAATCCATACCAGATACTCAGATACTCATCAAGGATAAGGGTCTGGTATAACATTTTAGGGAAAACCCCATACAATTTTTGTTTGCATGGGTCGCCCTTAAAATCCATACCAGACCCTCATCAAGGATGAAGGTCTGGTATGGAACCGTAGGGGAACCCCTTGGCGTGCTTTTTTTTTGGGGCATGGTGTTTCCCTTTACAATCCATACTTTATAGGTTGAACCTGACTATCTATGTAGACCCTCATCAAGGAAAAGGGTTGCTATAGATTTTTAGGGGGAACCCATGAGGTTTATTTTTGGCATGTGGTTCCCCTTTAAATCCATACTAGGCCCTCATCAAGGATAAGAGTCAGTTATGTAATATTAGGGGAACCCCATGAAATGTTTTTTTGTTTTTTTTGGCATGGTGTTCCCCTTACAATCCATACTAGACCCTCATCAAGGATAAAAGTCTGGTATAGACTTTATTTATTTCTCAAATATTTTATTAGCTTTTTTTATCAGCTTTTCGGTCAAATAAGACAAGCCGTTTGTCACGCCTGTATGGATAATAGTCACGTGGATCACAGCTGCGGAGGCTTCTCAGGTCTGGTACCCTGGTTTCACTCTCTATGTGAACTGAGAGTTAGGGTACCTTGCATCACAGCCTCAGGTTTAGTAACAGAGTGGCAAGGGTTAAAGTTAAGTGTGCTATTGGACGAGCAATGGATAACTTCAATGGTCAATGATTCAGCAGGATCTAGAAGGTTATCTACAACAGTAGCAGTGAACAGTCCCCCAGTATTGTAGTTAAGCTTGCAGTATATACTCAGAGACAGTTTGAATGTTTATGGTGTGCAACTGCACTAAGAGTACTTGCGCTTTGGAGCATAAGCTGGAATGGGAGTAGCCGGGGGTCCTTGGTGGTGTCCGGGTAGTATTGATAAGCTGGAGGCACAGTCTGTAGTTTGGAGGGTCCCAGGAGACAGCAGGCGTTCTGACTCAATATTGGAACGCCATGCTGTCTCGTCTGGGCGTTTAAATAGGGCTCAGAAGTGAAGGAGGAGCCGAGGCACGCATTGGTGCACTTCCACGTTCCACGGTGGAACGCACGTGGTCCCGAAACCCGGAAGTGACGAGCGTGCGCTCCACCCTGGAACGCAATCGGCCCAACGAAGGAGCGGCTGGCTGCCGCATCCTCCCTCCTCGCTGGCTGGTGACGGCGGCGGCCGTGACACCGTTATAAGGCAGTACAACAGTATGGTATAGACTTTTAGGGGGACCCCATGCCACTTTCTTTTTTTTTTACATAGATTCCCCCTTTAAAATCCATAGCAGACCTTCTTCGAGGATAAGGGTCTGATATGATTGTTCAGGGGAATCCCCGGCCGCTTTGTTTACATACAGAATGAAGCAGCCGGGATTGTCATTTAGCAGCAATAGTAATTTTTTTTAGCTTTAGCGGAAGTACATCCTACAGGTGCGCCACTACACATGCAGGATTACGGCATCCCCCAAGCATTTTATTGAAATGAGTTGTGAATTTGTAGTGTTAAATTTACCCTTGAAGTAGGGTAACCACCCCCCCTTGCAAGGGTAAGTAGAGATTTTGGTCTAGGTCTCACCTGTTTCTCTGTCTCCTGCAGCCAAAAATCAGGTCTCTTTCCCTGCCAAACAGTGCTGTGCTGTGTGGCAGAGCTCTGCAAATCTCAGAACTGGATGGATAGAAATGCAAACCCTTTGCCAGGCAGGCAATCTCTCAGATATGTATTCCATCTTTGTTTTTAGCTTTTTGCCTGATGTGCAGCTTCAAGACAGAACTTGGGAGCTCAGCGGCCCCCTGTGCCGCTGTTTATAGGGCACCCAGTTGTTATCATCATCCAGTTGTCACCCTTCAAGCTTCTGTCATAAGCGCTGTGATTGTGTCACTCCGCAGCCTCTAAAAATATCGAAGCGCGTAATCTGTCAGGACGCGCCGGGGGTAATTAGCGCGCCGCGTAATTACTGTGTGTTCAATTTTTTTTGACATATTTAATCAATGACATTGACGCTGTCGCGTGTTTCCCGCCACAGTTTCGCCGACTTGACAGCATTGTCTGAGAGACCTGGAAAGCGGCGGCTGTGTTTATAGAATAAAAAAGAAAAACAATAACGCCATTCAAAGCGCGCCGGTGCTTGTCGCGCCCTTTTAGTTGGCGCTTCCCAGGTGTTGCTCCCCTGATCTTGTAACAATGTCATGAATCATTTGAAGCGATGGAGGAAGCCGTATCCTGCGCCCTCGAGACTTTTTGCTCGCTGAATCATTAAAGCGCGTCTGTGTTGTTTTTTTTTTGGTATGCCAGGCGTCCGCTGCAGAGCACAAACGTGCGAACGACCGTATTTCCGAACCCCTCGGTGGGCCCGCGCTCCCTTTTTTAGTTATTTTATCTCAAATCGGAGAAGCCTTCGAGACGGGCCGCAGCCCGAGGACCGCTGAACCCATTACGGCCTATTGTGAAGGATAAATCTTTTCGGAAGTGTAACCGCAGAGCTCCCACCTCGCACGGCCTCGCTGTGATTCTCACGGCTGTGCGGCGAAGGCGACAAGCGTTAATCAGCTAGAAAGCTGTGAAAGCTGCAAAAACGCTGGAAGCGCACTACTCCCCGGACGCCGCCCCAGCCCGGTTTTGTGGAGAGAGAGAGAGCGGTGTTTAATACACTGTGTATTCCCGTGTCATAATCTTACAATGTACATAGATGTTCTGCTTGGCGCTGGAAACATTTTAGGCCTTAAGGGTGGTAAAACCTGCGCACAAACCGCGGTACGGTGCATTGTGGTGTCATTAATTTTGAAAGGCACCCTGATGCACTAAGCTGCATTAGGGTAGTGGGCAATGCAGCACATGCTGTGCGTTGGGGTGCAATGTGTTAGAAAAAAGGGTGAGGTCTGTTCTTTTTCATAAGGATCACTGCCAAAATCAATATGGCACCTTAACGCAGCATGCCGTAACGCACAATAACCCATTGCATTAGCATAACACAGAGGGGCTGATTTTTAACCAGTCCATAGCTCATTCCTGCCACTAGATGGATCCAAGGAGCACAGGAAATTCCTATACACCCCTGCATCAACTATTGGCAGTAAGGCTGGGTTCACACCTAGGCGTATAGAATATGCACGTTTGTCTCGCTTTTCGTGCCGCGCGTTTTTACCGCGATTTGCGTTTCCGAGGGCTACCTGGCTGTATCCCAATGGATACGCGCGGCAAATACGCCCCAAAGAAGCTCCTGTACTTCTTTGGGCGTAGGGCGTTTTGCAATGCGTTCCTACGCACTGTAAAACACCCAGGTGGGAACCATGCCCATAGGCAATCATTGGTTTTCACATGTTGAGCGTTTTATAGAGCGTAGGAACGCACTGTAAAACGCCCAGGTGTGAACCAGGCCTGATACTCTATGAACGTTCACTCAGCTATACGCTGTGTGAACATGTTATAATTCAGCATTACTGAGCATGCATGAAAAAAAACACATTTGATGACTGACCCGCTTTAATACTTCGCTGGCACTTCATTTTTTTCCCATTTTGTTAAATTCAATATTTAACTTGCTGTAATTAAGAGCCGCTGATCGAGATTCTTGTTGGAAACCTTTTATTATAATGCCGAGCGGTTCATCTCAGCCAGATAGATATGTACATTTCCCCTTCATTGCCATCATATAACAAACCTAATGGCTCTCCCGGTGTTTGAACTCTGTGTAATGGGGCTCTCTGGTGGGATTCAGCTCCAGGTGATGAGTGGAGGCTGTTGGAGAACATTTACAATCTTTTCTGCCGAACACAAAAAAAGGAAATATTACAAAAAACAACAAAAAACAACCAGTGTTCCGTAATTGTAAAAGCTCTGACCGAGAATAGATACCGCTGGAGGACTGATACTACCTTTATCAGCCAGCGAAAGCCCTTTCTGTGCTCCCCTCTGAATTGGTTTCACTTTGACTTTCCCTGACTTCATGGCAACTGTCATTCCTCTGTTCAGTGATACAATATATCAATGTCCAAAATGGAACAAAGGGCTTCCTTTTATTAAAGTCTAACCCTAACCCTGCTTTTTCTTAACATCCTCCCGTCCCACCCCACTCCCCCCTCCGAATAAAAAAAGACAAGTTCTACTTACCCTCCATGCTCCAGCACTGTGCCCCGATTTCTCCTCTGTCCAGCGCTGGTGGTCCTCATTCTGCCCACATACTCCCCTTAATTTCTGCAGCCCTAATATATATATATATATATATATATATATATACTGTATATTAGGGATGCAACGATACCAATATTTTGGTATCGAGTACGAGTACCAATTTATTTATTTTCGGTACTCGCCGATACCGAATACTGATACCAGAGGTCCCATTCAGGAAGTCAGGCGGTGTGTAATGACTCGCCACCTGGCTTCATGATTAGCAGGGAAGCCGTCCCCATGCCTCTTGTCACTAGGTGACAAGAAGCATAGAGCCGCTTCTAATGACACGCCGCCCGGCTTCCTGATTGGCCAGGAAGCCGGCTCCGTGCTCTCTCATCACAAGTGATGAAGGAACATGGAGCCGGCTTCCTGGCCAATCAGGAAGCCGGGCAGCGTGTAATGACGCACTGCCCGGCTTCCGGATACCGGAAGTATCGGGCTAGGCATCAGAGCATTTGGGTGAGTATGAGTACATATGTATATATATATATGCCTGCAGGCAAATTTATAAGGCTTAATAATGATTAACGGTAGGACTACAGTCCTGTGTCACATGTCTCTGTGGTTTGCAACCTGCCTCTCATGCTGCAGGGTGGTGGGCGAGACTACAAAGGATGGATCTGGAACCAGAGAACACATCAGCTTAATTTACAGGAGCTTACATTGAACAGATCACCATTCAGTGATCAGGTTTCCAGCAACTCTGTATACTGAGTGGATTTAAACTAAAACGTATGTGTATCTAAAGCCAACTTTTATTCTTTAGTTTTGGAGTTGGGTCAGAATTTTATTGGTGTCAGTGTCCATGCTGTGGAGATTTACCCTCCCTATTGTTCCTCGCGTCAACTGTCACCAGAACAGGAATAGAGGGGAAATATTTCAATGGGGACACTTGTTGCTGTAACAATGGTCTAAGAGGAGATTTCCTCTCCCTTTGTGCAGGAAGTAAAGGGAAATCTCCCTAATGGGACATGGATAGCAAAAAAAAAATTGACAGATGGAACTCTCTTCTCTTAATCATCCAAAATGTACACAAATTTTGTTTGCTTTACATCTTCTACACTTTGAACGTTTAGCTGGAAGGTCTAAACATGACAGCTTCCTACATAATCAGCATTCCCGTCAGATCTTCTGCCATAAATCTCCACCGCAGGAGGTCGCTGGATGATGGAATTTGTGCGAGGTCGCCAGGTCACAGCTTGTCGTTTCATGTAAGGCCGGCGCCAACAAGCACTAGGAAAGGAAAAAAAATGAAGGATGGCGTCGCGGAGGTAGTTTTCTGGCGTGTTTAACCAGAGAGCGCACTCAAGGTTCACGCGTAATGGGTAATATCTCAGCAGAGAAGAGGGGTATGCTGGGGAAGGAGAGAGGGAAGGGGCTCAGCGTGGGGTCTCTGTACACATCACAGGATGGATATTCACTGAAAGCCACGAACAACATAAAAGGTCACAGCGTGACGCGGGCCATATTGCATGAAAGAGCAGCGAGGCCGCAGAGCCAAGGAGGGGATTCTACACGTGCCGGCTGGATTCATTTTGAAAGAAAAATGCAGTTTTGCTGAAAAGAAATTATATATACTGTATATAGTGTGTATACACACACTATATTGCCAAAAGTATTGGGGCGCCTTTCCACGCACATGAACTTTAATAGCATCCCAGTCATAGTCCGTAGGGTTCAATGTTGAGTTGGCTCCACCCTTTGCCGCTATAACAGCTTCAACTCTTCTGGGAAGGCGTCCACAAGGTTTAGGAGTGTGTCTATGGGAATGTTGGACCATTTGTGAGGTCAGGTACTGATGTTGGGCCCTCATCAAGGATAAAGGTCTGGTATGGATTTGTAGGGGAAACACCACACCTTATTTTTTTGGCACCTTTAAAATCCATAGCAGACCTTCTTCAAGGACAAGGGTCTGGTGTGGCCATTGAAGGGAATCATCGGCCGCTTTGTTTAGAATCAGAATGTAGCGGCTGGACATATAATTTAGCCGCAATAGTTTTTTTTTTTTTTTTAAATGCCTCTTTTGCAGGAAGTTCCTCCTACTGGCATATTATTTAAAATAATTTTGTATTTTTTAGTTTTTCCCTTTAAAGAAGAACTCGGGGGAATAAAAAAAAACAAAAACAACCCTTTCAGTAGAGCTACCCCCGCACTGCAAAGGTTAAGTGCTCGTTTTGCCTGGGGTAGTCAAATAAAGC